TGAGGGGCTGACGGGGGTCGCCTTATCGCCTCCCGCCGCGGGGCGGACCCGGCCCGGCACTCCCCTCCCTGGGCCGCCATGATAAGGGGCAGGTTTGGCGCCTCCGTGGGAGCCAAAGTAGGGCGGGTTAGCCCCCGTTTTTGCGGCAAAAGTGATCCAATAGCCGGGGCTTCCCTATTTTCAGTATATGCCTATTTGCATATCTGTGCATAATAATTCATATTTATGTGTATTTTGCTGGTGGAAGGCTCCTTGCTTTGGATTAAAAATGAGTTGTAGCTGTGGGTTGGTGCACAGGTGTAGTTTATGCTTCTCTGGTTATTAATGCATCCTGCTAGCCAGAGTGCATACACTACCTTTGAATTACTCTGAGCTTTAACTCTCTGATGTGAATGTGGTGATAGATGGATATTGTTAAACCAAAGCTACATCTTGCTTGTCCAGGATTAGTTTGGTTCTATGTTTATTTTTGTCTGCCTCTCTAAAAAGAGGCTTCCAGCTTTTTAATTAATTGAATAGTGATGGCTTGCAGACACTGTAGTTCTCTTACATCTCCTTGTTAGGGGAAGAATCTGAGTGGAAAGTATTAATTAGTGTATTTTCTTCTAGTGTCTCTAATTCTGGCATGTTCCCATTCTTCCAGAGGCTGCAGTTCTGCTTTCTCTGCACCATTAATATACAAAAGTTACATGAAGCAAGATGGCTCTTAGAAAATGTGCTGATGCTAGTTATTGATTAAACACATGTACCTTGTCTTCTGGGCCAGAGTGTTGCATTTAAGATGATTGTATAACATGGTTGTGTAAAGCATTTGGTGTCTTATTTGTGTTATAGGCCAATGTGAATCAGAAAGCCTCAAGTCTTTAGTTGTATTGCATGATATAAGAAGGTACCTTTATTTAGGCAACTGAATTCAGGTAAAAAGCAACCACTTGCATGTAGCTGGCTGCAAAATTGCTATGCAGACTCAGAATAGAAGAGACTTGTTACCCCCAAAAAATGTATGAACACCAACAGTTTGGTTCACTGATGATTACCTTCAGCACGAACATCTGGACTTAATACATCTTGGTGCAAATCCAGTGCCACTAGTTTGTGTTTAACTGCTGTCTTGTACCAGGAGGTGTCAGTCAGTTACAAGCCTGATAAGAAAGGCACTCAGGGTCTGTAAACTACTATTTGTTAGAGCTAACTCTATAAAGAAAGAGGATAGTGTTGATAATCTTACATCTCTTCAAGTGCTGGGAGCCCCGAGTTGTGCAGCATTGAACAGACCTCCTCCAATCCACACACAGCATGCTGTGCAGACCCTGTCCTTAGAAAGGGTTACTCTGTTATTCGGGATTCTCTTACAAGAAAACAACTCTATTCATCATTTCTACTGTCAAACAGAAAGGATGCTCGCATGAGAACTTGCTGCTTTTTTAGATAAAGGCAAGGACATGCAGGTGGCTTAGTTGCATGTACCAAGTGGGAGCTGCCTGGACACTCCCCTGTTACACCTAGCTGCTGAGCTTATTCTGAAGCCATGGGCTGTGTGTCCCACAGCACAGGCCTGAAGGCTGCACTGTACTTGAAGTGCAGCACAAGACAAGCCTGGACCTACTCAGGTTAACTGTTATGTGGGTCACCAGCTCCTTGGTGTACAATGGCCTTCAGGTCAGGATCACTCCAACTACTCTATTATGTCTCCCTGTAAAACAAGTGTGCTGTTTGGTGTTTGCTGTGAATCTACAAAAATACGGGTTGAGAAGCTAAGCAAGAAAGTGGAAAATACAAACTTTCTGTATGAACACATCCATCAGCTGGGACTTAATTATCGGAGGAGGATGATAACAAGAAGGCAGAGCTATTTTGGGATAGTATGCTGTGTGAATGCTCTGCTTTGAAAGCATCCATTCCTCCTAAATTGTCGGCCATTCAACCAACATTGCATGCTTCCACTCTTGGTTTTGTTTGGGGTTTTTTTAGAACAAATAACATTAATGAGTTTGGACACAGCTGAACTTGGGAAGTATCTTCCTCAGCTTCTGCTGAAATTGGCTAGTCAGCTTTGGAGCTTATCCTGAATGCGGTTTCTTTTTAACGGTTTGACCAGAAACATAGATTGTGAGGATGTTGGGACACACTGTAAAACCTTCCTTTTTGATAAAAAGCTTTGCCACTGTGAGCAGGTCACTGTTTGCAGCAGCTATAAAGCCAGCAACAGATAATGGAAGATCCTGCTGGACCTCTGTTCTGTTGAATTTCACAGGGAAAATGCTTGGGTATAATAGTGCTAAGCATAAGAGAAGCCCAGGTTCAAAGTGACAACTGACTTTGCATAATCTTTTTTCATTCTCCCTTTAGTAACAGAAGAACGCGACTCCTCTGTGAATTTGTGCTAAATCAGGTGTGTGACACTTTCTATAATAGCAATGCTAGCTGTTGCATTCTGTTTGTACTTGAAATGCATCTTATGTAAGAGTTGAGCTTGAATTTCCATCAGAGTCCACATGCAGATTTTGGCAGTATGGGAATAAGGAATCTTGTACCTCTTTAGAAGACAATGTCCCTTTCTGAATAAGCAGGGAGATGGAAAAGAGCAGGAAGATAAAGTTATTTTGGGATGCAAAACACATAAATACGTAAGGACCTACTGCATTTTAGCTCACTTTGCACACAGCTATTTCAAGTTCTGTATCAGAATGATAAAAAACCCATATATATATGCACTAGTTTTATTTGATCTGAGGTGTTATTTCCTACTGTCCACATTTGAAAGTGCCTTCGTTTTGTCCTCTCTGCTAGCCCTGACTTTCCATTAGAGAGGGTTTTTTTAGAGTAGGTTTGGTTTTTTTTAAAGTAGTCTTCTCACTTGGTAGCATTTGCCTGTTGCAGGTATATAACAATTAGTAAACAATTACGGGTGTTGCAAAGGAAGCCAAATGTTTCTGTTTTTCTTCCCAATGGCAGACAGCCTTGATAATGAACTGTAGTTCAGCCCTGAGTTGGCGAAAATTTGGATTCAAGGGTGACAAAGCACGTATCTGGCATAAAAAGATGGGACTGATCCTCCAGCAGTGATGTTCTTTGGAGCATTATTTTTTTTATTGTTTGTTTTTTCTGGGCTATGCCTTCATAAATGCCTTTACCATTCACTCTTAATGAAAACCGTGCTTGTATCAGGTCTTCATACCTTAACCTGCACCAGTTGTTTCTGAAAAAATGTGTTTATCCCCAACTGCAGTGGTAATTAGAGCTTGGTTCCTGAGCCAGGTGGTAGTGAGTTGGTAAAAGAGAAAGACTTATTGCAGAAGTCATATGGAATTACTGTACACTAAGGGCAGACAAACATCTCTTGCTCCCTTCTGCCTCATCAATGCTTACTGCTAATTTAAAACAAACAAAAAAAACCCAAAAGCATGTTTACACCTGAGCTTCCCTATTAATTGTATGTTATTGCAGGATGCTTCTTTTTGTACTTCTCAACTCTGAGAAATCTTAAACATGTGCATTGTAAAGGAGAGAAGAGAATAAGAAGGAAAGGGAGAAAAAGGGCTCCTTTTCTAGTCTCTCTAGGGTAGCTATTCATCTTTGTACCAGTAAAAACCGTAAAGAACCTACTGTAAAGAATGTACTTCATCTTTATTCTAGCATCATGATGACCTCTATGATTTTTTTTAATTTATTTTTACATAGAAAAGGTAAATTGTTGCAACTAACCGAATTGCTGCAAAACTCAGTTTGTTTTCGTTCTTCTCTAGGCAAAAATGTCTGTAGCATGCGACTTCATAGGGTAGCTGTTCATCTTTGTACCAGTAAAAAACTGTAAAGAACCTACTGTAAAGAATGTACTTCATCTTTATTCTAGCATCATGATGACCTCTATGATTTTTTTTTAATTTATTTTTACATAGAAAAGGTAAATTGTTGCAACTAACCGAATTGCTGCAAAACTCAGTTTGTTTTCGTTCTTCTCTAGGCAAAAATGTCTGTAGCATGCGACTTCATTGCACTCTACACTGGGCAGAAGATGCCTCTCATGGGACTGGGAACTTGGAAGAGCGACCGTGGCCAAGTAAGCAGAGAACAATATAAATACTAGTTGAGAGCACAGTATTGTGTTTTTGCACCTTTTTTTGAAGATCTTAGAGCTGAGGCCTGGATCCTTCACTTGGATGGTTTTAGTCTTAGGTTCACTGAGGTCAGTGGAATGTATGTGTGCATTTGCATGACTAAGGCCTTAAGGTGCAGCAGCAGCAGATTCCTGAAGACTTGTTAACCCAGGCCTCAGGCAGTGGTACTCTGGGAGATGAATCCAGAAAGAGACCAACGAGTGGGATGAAGAGCTGAGACAGGGAAAATGCTGTTGCTATAATATCGTTCCTGACTCTTCTGGGAAATCCTCAGGCTGCCTGTCTGACTAGACATCCCTCTGGCCTGGGCTGATGACTTAGCTGAAAGCATTATTTTGGGAGGCAAGAACTCTAGTTGTGCTTGTCTTAAGTCCTGTTCCAGTGGTTAGCCTATGTTTAGCTGAGAAATGAAGAACTTGCTTGGGTCATCCTGCTTTTAGATTAAGAAAGGTAATGTGTCACTAGACATTTACTCTGCTTCTAAATGCAATGAATTGGCAAACACCACTTGGAAACAGTTCTGTGTGTTACCACAAACTGTGGGAATGTTTGTGTGCTGTGGACTGTGCCTCCTATGGTAATACGTCTCCTCCTTGTCTGTCTTTTCCTTTCTGTTTAATTTATTTAAAAGATAAATTCCTGGGGGCAGAGATTATCTTTCACAGCAAGTACGTGCAGTGTCCAGCAGGAGTGTCCTCTTGCTTGGTGGAATTCTTAGTTGTTATTGTTGGTTTTAGTGTTGTTTTTAATGCTTTTTGTGTTAGCTGCACGATGGTTTTTCGAGTATGTCGGATGATATTGTGCTCCTGACGGAGAGGGAGAGCTAAAACCCTTCTCAAGATGACCTGTTGTGCTATTAGCTCATGCCAGATGGAGGAAAAGGTGGGAAACAAGCTATAAAAATTAAATCTATTCAGAGCCATTTTATTGTTGGGCTTCCTGTCCAAACAACTGTCAGGACAGCAGAGCTGTTGGGAATAGAAGCTGTGCTAATGTGGAAGCTGAGTTGGTGTGAGAGCTCGGTCAACCTCTTAAATGAGGACAAGGGTGAACATTCAGCTCTGTCACTTAAAACATTAACTGACAACTGAATTAAGTTTATTAAATGCAGGAACTTAATGAATTTTTGTGCACCCAAAGCAGTTGAATATGCATTGTGCTGAAACAAATGCGTGAAACTAAACAAACAGAATACGAATGCATTGGTTTTTGTGCGCTAACTGTTCTGAGGAAAGTATGGTCTTATAAAACAACCTGGAGAGATCCTGCTTGTATATAATTTAAACCTAGTTCAGATGGATTTTGCCATAGTAAGCAGCACTTCTAGGAGCTGAATCCCACGTGGGATCCAGAGATCTTCTCTGGGATCCCGTGGAAGTAAATGGGAGTCACTTCTGTGGAATATTTACTATCTTCAAAGACTTATTCCTAGAATGTGTTGAAGACATGACCTAGAAAGTGCAGTGAAAATGACCAGAGTTACTGCAGTTGCTGCTATTCCTTTCCTATGGAATAAATAAATTCATATTTATCATTCTTCAGAATTGTTTGCATTTTTTAAATGGAGATTTATCAAATTCAGAAGCATACCAGCAATTTGGCAGAATGTCCAAATGATTTACCCTTAAAAGGACATGATGTAGTTCAGAGAGAGTAATTGTTATTGTGAATTAAAGACTAAGGGCCAAAAACCTAGAGAAGCAGAAGAATAATAATTGATTGTGTTTAATCTAGTTGTTTCCCAACTAGAAGCTATTTATTGAAAGCTGTTTTGTACAAGGGCTGTGTTACAAACAAGAGTGGAAGCAGATGGCTTTTAGATTATTTCAGGTAAATATTTTGCAGATTGGAATTATTTTCCTTGCCCAGCTGCTTTTCAGTCTTGACCTTACTCTCTTGATTAATTTCTTTATTATTGCTGTTACTATTCCTGATCCTAAACAAGCCTTGTCCTGGTAGCCAGATTTTAGCAGTCCAGTACAAAGGTGTCATTGCAGCCCTAGTTTCTTACGTGGTAAGAGTGTAAGGGGAAAATTATCGAATCTCAATCCATGTTGGAAGACTAACTTAAAATAATACAATGTTTTCTATCTTACATGATCGAATGCAAGAAGAGAAATTTGTTTTACATGTTACCATGGGAACATGATGGAGGCCTATTGAATGGAAGGGAACATAGTACAGAAACTTATGAACTGGCAGTATGAATGAGTTCAAAGACAAGTCCATTCAGGCAACAGCATCAAGGATACCAGTAGCATGTTTTTCTAATATTGGAGCTTGATTATCTGTAATCCTTTAATGCTTTGTTCTCTTCCCTCAAATGGGCCATGCTTTCAACCTAGAGGATTGATCCCCACCAGATGAACAGTCTAATTTGCTGTGGCAGAGGCTGATTCTGTGGGGAAGAGAGATGTGGGGTTGAGGGAAGCTGTATTTTTCTGTGCAAAACTTCAGGAAAGCTGAAGAGGAAATGCATACCTCAGAAAACCAGCCAGACTGGGGACCGGGTGTCTTGTGACAGGATTGCAGCTAAGGAGGAGACTGTTTAGTTCCTGAAAAGTTTGTTAGACAATCCAGAGAATCCTTGTTATGTGCACAAAAATTCACTACTACTGGTATATATTAAGGGAGGAACTTCAATTCCTCATCTGAAGGATAGGAGGCAAAACTATTTTAGGGAATGTCAGTTTTAAGTTGGCATTACTTATGTGGTGGTCTGAGTTCCTTTTCAGGAAATTTTAGTACAGTACGTACAAACTGTGATATAGCAACACTTATGTTCTAGTCATACTGCACCTGAATATCATGTGGACTGATGATCTGGGGGAGAGGGGTGGTGGTGTTTCCCTATTTCCCGTCAGCAGATGTACTTGGACTGCTAAAATGTGACAGCTTTGCAGGAAACAGAGGCGGCCATCAGAGCCTTTTCTTTCCAGGTATTATTGACTGGAACTGTTAGAGTGAAAACCTCTTCATAACAGCTTGGGGCTTTGCAGAAGAGGCTCCTTAATCACTTGAACTCTCTGTTGCTTGGAAGTATAAAGATGGCTTGTTAGTTTTTCACCTTGTGATGGGCAAATTGAAGAACTGGAAATCTAGTAATGGATATTACAATGAATGGGACTTACAGATTCTGTTTCTGAATCTGCCACAGATTGTTAGCGATATTGTGTTCCTCCATCCTCAAAACCAAAAGAGGATGAGTGGGAAGGCCAAGTCCCTTGCTGGGATGTGTAAATGGGAGTGAGTGTAGTTCCTAGGAGTTTGCTATACAATGAAGGAGAGTAAGGCTTCAGCTGCAATACTGTGTCTGTTTTGGGGCAAACCACTTGAAGAAAAGCATGAACCAACTGACAAGACAGCAGCAACACCAATGCAAGGTCTGGGAAAGGTAAGTTGTGATGAAAGATGGAAGCACCTACAGTTACGTGGTCAAGAGAGGTTTGAGAGGAGACATGCTGACGCTTTCCAAATGTGCAAAAACCCCTCACCAAGGGGAAGCTATGGATTTCATGGCTGTGAGGAATAGGATGTGGCATCAAGGCTGTCTTGGTTAGACATCTAAAAGGCTTTGAACATAAAGATACCTAAGCATTGGAATAGACTGCCTGTTGCAAGAAGGTTTTGACAAATGTGTGCAGGAGTGGTTTAGACTTAGCTGGCCCTGTTGTGGGGCATGAGGGTAGACTAGATGATGTCTCAAGATTGAGACCTGCTTTCTGTAGTTGTGTGATGCTAAGGTGGTGAGTCACACTTAAGCTGTGTGACTCAATTTGCCCAATGCAAAATGAACTCAGTAATTGCTCCTTCCATAGCAGTATCAACAGGCTAAACTAAAGGATATATGGAAAATTTGAAGGATCCTTTGTCTATTATTACTTCACAGCACCACATTTCCAGAAGTGTATGAATCTTCAAGTGCTTTGGTTGTTGCTCCTCCCCAGTCCCCCAGAAAATGCATGTACCTATCTGAACATAATCTCAAAAATATAAAACTTTCTGTTAAAACTAAGTACCATCTGTCTGTTATTAGGGTTTCCCCCACCTCCAAGAAATATTTTTTTCCCACATTTTCTCTTGGTTATTTGCCTTTTGCATGGAACAGGAGCTCTCTGTTCACATTGGAATGTCTTAGTAGGCTGAGAGTAGTTTACACAAATACAAATGTTGCCCAAATCTGAACGTTACTGAAATGACCAGTCCCAGTTTTTCAGTGCTAGAAATTTGTCAAAATAGTCTGATATAGAAATATGGCCTCCTTTTTATTGCTTTGCAGAGACATGTTTAGAGTGTCTTATCCTCAGTTTTCTGCAAGTGGTGCCTACTTCCATTTTATGGCAAACTTTGTACCTGTTTGGATTAAAAAAATGTATTATCCTGATAGAGAAAATGGAGGATTAGTATAGATAAAGAACACGGCTGTTCTTCTTTCCCTCTCTGTTTCTGCTCCACAGCTCTCACCTTTTTGGAAGGTGGATATTGAGTCTTAGAACCCTTTAATATGTCTCAAGTGATTTCAGAATTACTGCGACCTTGACTTCATAGTGACCTTCTGAAGAATGTCTTTGTCAAAGTGAAACAAGGACTGTAAATACCATCCTTTTACAGAAAGGAAGAGCTTACTTTGCTGTTGTAATAGAAATGCTTTGTCATTACAGCTAAGGGAAACTGGTCTACGCTCCAGTTTTCCTCTCAAAATGCCAAAGAATGCAGTCAGAATATCCTGTGTCTGCCTTTTCAGTAGTCCCTGAAAAGAAAAATAAATAAAATCCACCAGCAGATCTTTTTTTATGTCTGATTTCCCTTTCTCTTTCTGAAGCATCTGAAAGCAGGACTGTACATGGCTTTAATTGGTGTTAATAACTTTGTCAGCTTTAAAATTGCAAATGCCAGTACTTTAAGTTGAAAGAAATCAGTCTCTAGCTTTTGTGGACACTTTTTTTAATCTCTTCACAAGAGAGACAATCTCTTCACAAGAGGGACAATCTCTACAAATAGATCAGGGCCCTATTGCATCAAGGTTTTACACAGTAATTTACAATCTCCCACAGTCTCAAGAGAGAAGTCAGAGAAGAGCAATGTATAGAAATCACTGTATGGATAAGACAAACTCTTACTGTAGCACTTGATAGGCAGATGTAAAAGGGAACGTGTGCTTACTGTCCACTGGAAGCTAAATAAAATAGATTTTACTTAATGCTTATCAATGTAGTGGAAGATGACTACACTGAATCTGTAGTAATTCTTGGTTCTTGCACAATCAGTTATTAATAATCTTTATTCAAAAGCTATTTAAGAATCCTTGAAAAGATGCTACTTTGTGTTCCCTTCTTTGGTTTGTAGGCTTGCTCCTGATCTGAGGCCCACATGTGAGTATGTTTTGTGCTTGTGCTTTGTTAGAGCTTTCAAAAGCAGAAACAGATTCAAAGTATAGTGCCTTGATTCCCAACCATTCTGGCTTAAGTGTAACAATATGGAGTAAGGGATGTGTTGCTGTTGGCAACACCTTTGTTGTCAGAAACGTGGAAAGTGAGGTTTTGAGCTTTGTCAGGAGATCCTCTGCAGGCCATGGGTTAATATTGAGCAATATAGTGATTTTTGTTGTTGTACAATCAGTGAGATTGAGACATGAAGGAAAAATGTGCCTTAAAATTGCATCATCTTAGAAATTAACTGTGAGCAGGTGAACCAACCCCAAACTCTGGCAATTCTGGAATTAGAAACCAAGCTCTTCCTTTACTGGGAGAGAAGAGAGATCTTCCAGGCTTGACTGACATTGATTGGTCTGTTAGTTCTTGAAAGTTTGTCTTCCTAAGCCATGATTTATTTGAAAACTGCTTCTTAATGCTCATTTTATATTTAAGAAAAGCGTAACAACTCTGGCTAAGAATGAATCCCTATTCTATCTGGCAAGTTTTTGCGTGCTTGGCCTGTGTGCGTGCTCTGTTTTCTTGTTACTCTTGGAGCATCTATTAGCAATTAGCTCTTCACTCCTAAAGGCTGTGCCGTAGAGGACTGTATCATACTCTGAGTCTCATGACCTTATGAAGGTCTATAGTTTGGGGGTGTTCCTCACTAAATCTCTAACATTTTTAAATTTTTTTCCCCTTTCCACTGATTGCATTTGGTAATCTGTTTATGATTACAGGTGAAAGAAGCAGTGAAATATGCGCTAAGTGTGGGTTATCGCCACGTTGATTGTGCAGCAGTTTACGGCAATGAAGCAGAGATCGGTGAGGCTTTCCAGGAATGACTT